ATGTTACCTCGTAGTTTTTTTTGAAAGATTATCAGTATGCCTTTTCATTTCTACCGCTATTGTACATATTAATATAGATCTACACATCAACACTAATTATTATTATTATTTTCTAGGATTTTAAAAAATGTGATCTTTTAATCGTTATTGGAACTTCTTTACAAGTTCAACCTTTTGCTAGTTTAATCGACGATGTTAAAGATACAATTCCAAGATTATTAATCAACCTAGAGAAAGTCGGTGAGGTATAAAATCATTCAATGGTCGATCTTATTGTTATGATTGACTACTATTAATTTTTTTCTTATAAAAAAAACAATTATATATATGTTAGACATATATGCCAGGATTTGGGTTTGACTTTGAAGGAGAGGATAGAAGAGATGTTTTCTTACAAAGCACATGTGATGAAGGTGTTAAAAAATTAGCAAAATTATGTGGTTGGGAGGTAAATAATAGTAATTTATTGTTATTTATTATTATTATTATTATTAAAAATCATTTTAAATTTTAATGCAAAAAATAAATAAGGATGAATTGCAACAACTTTATACAGAAGGACACAAAGCATTAAAAGAAAAATATGGTGTTAAGACGATAACTTCACTTGTTGATAAAGATTTAGAAGAATTAGTTGAAGATTTTGAAAAGATTTCTATAAAAAAGACTTCTACAATCGCAGAAACAAAATCAATAACTATTGAACAAAATAAAGATTTAAAAAAGGACAAAGACGAGAAGAATGAGGCAGTGAAAGAAAAGGACGAAAAGGTGACAAAGAAAGATACGGAGAAGGAAATAACAGTGGGTAGCTAGTTTAAATTATTGATTAGTTTGCATATGATGAGCTCTATTCTTTCATGTATATTTTTTAATTATTCGTTCCTTATTTATATATGATTAAAATTATTTAATTTTAAATTGGGCAATTTTGATTTTTTTTAAAAAAAATATGAATAAATAAAGTTCTAGTTATAATTTTTATTATAATTTCTTACATTAGTATTACCCAATAATTAATAATTTTATCTAAGAGGACGAAAATCAAAAAATAAACACAATAAAATAAGTCGTAAACTATGTTAACTAACTAATTAATTAATTAAATATATATATATAGATATATATATATCAATAGTATAATATTTGGTGATTTCAAACATGTACGCAACATGTGATAATTGTATAAAATTTACTGTTTTGAGGCCTCATTAAAATGACTGGTAATATTTGTTGTATTTGAATAAATATATGGTTGTTATTGTTGTTGTTGTTGTTGATAATATTGTGACTGCTGCTGTTGATCTTGTGGGTAAAGTTGTCCATAATATCCAGTGTAAAGTGTGGCTGGTTGGGTGGTCTGATCTGTGGTTGTAGTTGCGTTTGTGTTAGTTGAAGAAGTTCCAATGTTAGCAGTGGTATTGCTATAAGGTGTAACAGCTGAAGCACCTAACG